CGCCCCGGGGGCTTGCTGATAAAGCAGTTGAGACTGGCATGGTGGCGCGTGCCAGTAATCCCAGCACTTGGGAGGCTGTAAACAGGAGGATCGCTAGGAGTCCAATCTAGTACTGAGACCCTGAACTAAATGCATAGAAAAAAAACTCTAACCATTCCCAGCTTTCACAAAAGATACTAAACCCAAGTGAGATAAAATGTTGGGTAATGTAAAACCCCTCATACACAGCAGTATTTCAATATTATTAAGAGTACAATATTCAAATAATCACAAAAGGATTATAAGGCATGTGCATAGCTGAGTCACAATGGATGTTTGTGTGCTCAATTTGACAAGTGCCCTAAAGGCCATTTATATATAAATTCTTGTTGCAAATAACAAAAATAACACAAACTAACTTAAGTTTTAAAAGAGCAAGATCTATACTGTGAATGAAATCAGTGATCCACTGAAGAGCCCTCCGGCGTAGCGAGGTGCGGGGATTGGACAGTGTCACCAGGACGGGTCTCTCTTTGTAGAGTCTTGGCTCTGCTTTTTTCTGAGCTGTCTCCATCCTCAGCACCATCCCTCCAGGTGGTGGCGCTGGCAGCTCGAGCTTTACAACACTGTAGCAGGCCTAGTGGAAAGAAAGCCTCTCTGTCCCCGTAGGCCCTTAGTGAGCTTTCATTGTGGTCATGTGCCCATCCTTCCACCAATCATTGCCACCACAGAGATGCATGCTGATTGGTCAGGCCTGGGCCACAGAAGCCATCTAGCCCACCTGCAGCTACAGAGGAAGTGATGCCCACGTGAACGTTTTGGACTGATGGTGAAATGGTGTTCTCCCAAAAAGGTCAGGACTCAGGCGCGAAACAAACGGATGCCTTGCACGCACACAGGACAGGGTCCCATTTCAAGTAGCCCAACTGTGTTCTGGGGAAGTTGTCTGAGCCGTCCAGGGCCACATGGCTAAGAGTAATTGGTCAGAAGATCTGATCCGGTTCTGTTCAGCTGCAGAACCTGTGCTTCCTCTGCCTGCATGAAAACAGCAGCCAGGAGTCTGGGCTGGAGACCCGCGATCAGAGCCACAACGTGCTACATGTGGTCCTCAGTGCCCCAGAAGTGTACACTTCACACCAGAAAAAGTTATCCACGCTTAACTCTTGGCTCGAGCAGCTATAGCTTCTTCGTGCACATGTGCCCTCTCAGCGAGACCCAACCGCACCAGGTCCCCAAGTTCTCACGGTGCAATCTATCCTTTTTTAAATACTCTTCACTATTAAAATCACACACTCCTGAAATAATGTGTCATGCCTGCCTTCCTAGTAAACACAAGGGAAGGAATCAGTGTCTACTTTTTTATATTCCCTGCACCAAACACACCATGAATGGATAGACAGACGGATGGACGGACAGACGGGTTGGTGGACAGATGGATGGATGGATGGATGGATGGATGGATGTGCCATAATAGCTCTTTTCTAATATATATATA